TGGCGCCGCCACTGTTCTTATTCAAGATAGTACGGACTTCTTTTTTTCATTTTGAAAAGAAGCTCCCTCTTTACTTTGTAAAAGTAGTTTTTAAAATAAGCCTATCTCAAAAAAGAAGCCCATCTCGAAAAGAAGCCCATCCAACAGTCCTAAAAAACAAAGAAGCCCAGGACTTCTATATACATATATGTATATATATATATACATATATATATATATATATATATATAACATATGTTATATGTGTGTAATATTATTACTATTATTATTATTATTAAATAATATATATTAATATTAATATTATTATTATTATTATTATTTCTCCTGATCCTTTGGCTCCATACAACTTTAGGTGCCACAATTAAATGAACAAATATGATTTTAGAAAGTATTAACAGCTTATGAAAAACCAAAACCAAGTCCTAATGTAAATAAATAATATAATATTTTGAATGACAATGTATAAACTTGTTCGTTTATGGGAGTACCTCTATCCAGTTAATTGTTATTATTATGATTTCTTGAACATCTGCTTGATTCACCTTGCTTCTCTGAATAATAAAAATAAAAACAAAGTATACATTTTCTTTGCATTCAATGACACGTAAACATGTAGCCCTCATGCCCGTTTGTTTTATCATGTAGCCGGTTCACCATCTGCTACCTGTTAGTGCTGCACCCATTCAGCCTCTTGATAGGGATTAAATTCGGATACTTACTCTATCAATGTCTGTTGTCTATAGGCCTCGCTAGGTATCTTATAGCTTAGATTTTCTGTGCGGCAGGTTGTGGACATAGTTCCTATAGTTTTGCCCATTAGCTGTTAATTTGAATCGTTTACTGCTTTGTACTCTTGTTTTAGCCAAAAGTAGCCCCTTAAGCAGCTGCTGGTACCCAGCACCCTCCCTCCTTTGTTTACTGACTTGCGAACTATAACAAAAGCCAAATTAATGGTCTATTGCTATTTGTTTTCTAGCCGAATTTTTGTGTTGATTATCACGGTCTATAAAAGTGTAGTACGGATATAGTTACAAACAATAGGCACGCGACAGGGCTCAGATGTGTAGTATTTTGGGGTATTCTTTGTCAACCGCTATCCGAAATTGTAAATCTGGAATATTCCATACTCAAAAGAGGGATGCGCAAACACACAGCACTATTTTTCAGATTAATCACAAAACATGGTAATTAAAGTGTAATGAGAGAATCGTAATAAAACGGGTTGTAACAAATTATGTTAAGATATATATTTTTTTCTGGACAAATCGCATAATAATAACAACCATAAAGCCATAGGACCAAATTAACAAAAATAAATAAATAAATAAATAAAAAATTAACAAAAATAGCCTATTATGTACGAGCTTAACATTCTGAAATTTAATATTTGTTTATAAAAGCTTATGCATTAGCATTTCAATAATAACATTTTTGAAGAAAAATATATCGTCTAAAATCATACAGTGTTTCATAAAGAGTTATGGAAAAGGCAATGACGACCAAAACAATGCCTCTGGCCTATTAGGCCCAGGAATTTAGTTTTTAGGCTGTAAGGAGGTCCACATAGGCAATCGAGATAGGCCTACCACTTCCTTGGGCCTACCCTGATAAATCACGATCGTAACTTTTCGCATACCGGTCCTAAACAAGTTAATCGGAAATTAAAACCTGGGCTCGGCCCTAGGAGCAAGTAACAGAGACTTGCTTTCATTTTCAATATATACGATAAACATATATAGGCCTATACATACCGTCTTGCGGTAATGTTATAAGTATTTTTAAATTTTGACATTATATGTTCTACCTTGATAAAGACCGGATGATATGTCATATTTCATATGTTATGTATTTTCTCCAATAAATATACTAAATACGCTATATATATATATATATATATATATAGGGACTAGTTTGGGCCCTACCTAAGCTGGTCGAACGTTTCGTTTGGGTCTGTACCCTAGCTGCACTGATGAGGCCTAGAAGGCCGAAACGGATCCGTCTGCAGATATTGGGATTCCTTCCAGTGGAT